ATCGAAGTTTAAATAGAACTGAAACATAGTTGCTTAAGCTATGTCATATCACATAAAATCACGTCTTTGCCTTATCACTTTAATGAATAAACTCGACTAATAGATACCCTAACTCAGACTCAAGCTCAAACTTGTATATGCAAATCTGTGTCTTATTAACCATATCACGTATGTAGAGTGCACATACAATTTTATATGTGCGGAATATTTAAGTTTAAGCTACCACAGATCAGTTATAATACTGCGTATTATAAACTCTTTTCACATATGTTCACATTATAAATAATATCAAAACTCTAACTCTTAGAATGCCCGAGTTACTTTAACGCGACGCACACAAAAATGGAAAAAAATAAAAAAAAAACATATGAAACCCAAATGACGTCAAATGCAGCACAACAGCAGGTAAAAGCTCAAGTTAGGTTTCAGGTGTTTTTATCTTAAGTTCGATTGTTTCATACACGCTGAATACATTTTCAGAAACCGGCATACATTAGAGAACAAAACCCGTTTGTTGCTTTCAATGAATGTGACCCAGAGAATTGGCTTGAATAGGGGTTCGGTTTTTATTGTAGTGTCAAATAGGGTTCAAAGGGTTGCACAATGCGTAATACCCAAACAATAGACCCAAAACTCATTTTTAAGCACTTTATAAAGAAACATATCTATATATGTTTTACTTATTATTTCACTTTGATTTCATATGCGTTTTACATTTACATTGTATTAATAAACTTTTTTTTACACGTTTCACGCAGTTTTTTTTTCTGTAATTTTGCAACACTTTATTATGTTGGCACGTGTTAATTGCGCATTTCTGGTTAAAAGAACGCGCCATAAAACACGCAACGCACGACAGAAAATGTTGTGAAAAGTAAAATGCGAGCGCAACCGGCGAGCGACAACATTGAAAACTCGTCGCAGACTAAAGAGACGTCGAATGGAATTTGTGTTGTGCCGTTTTTATCGAACGCTGCAGATACATTTGTATCTAGATACACACGACACGCTGCCACTGCTGCTCGCTACAAAGAAACTCTTCAGCTGGCCATGCAAGCAGCTGCTCTCTAAAGAAATGAAATAGAGACAGCAAAAAAATAAGCCGGTTCGCTTTTTATTATAAACTATTCTGTTTTGGCCATTCGTTGTGCTCGTTTTGGCCGCAGCTAAACAGACATAAAACAAAACAAGTTCCATTTGCTCTCTTAAGTTAAAATGTTGCGGCAACCAAAGCGCAGTCATGAACTGCTTACCAAATGCACTGCTTGCACAGATTACATGGGTTGTAGCGATCGCTGCTTGAATAAAACTGTAGCATGCTTTCGCGCGACGCTAAAATTGTATTGTCTTGCCTGTATTCGTTATTTTCATTGAAGTTAGCTCAATATTATTCTATTTCTATTAATTAAATCAATCTCTATTATTTATAGGTATTACTGCTTCTATGTATGTATTACAAAGTATATATCATATATATACATAGACTGCCGAGTTACTTAAAAGTTTATGAATTCTCGCTTTGCTTGTCGACTCAACAGTTTCTTCTGCAGAGTCAAGCAGCTGCAATTGCTGTCGAAAATTTCTTGCCTACTTTTAGGCAGTTCAGGAATTCATTTCAGTTGCTTTCATACAACATTCTTTTTACTAAATAAAATAAAGTATATTAAAAGCTTGTTCATACCTTTCTTATAATAAATATTCACATTTTCTATATATATGAAAACAGTAAGCTTTACTTACGCAGTGGAGTTTTCGCCAATTGTTTTGGGGATCCGCTGCCATTGCCATTGCACAAGGAGCTCAGATCGCTGTGCGAGCTCTTCTGGCTGTCCTTGCTGTAAGAGCGACCACTGCAAGGATACGAAATAAATAGAAAACATTAATAACAGCAAAATTTTAGCCTAAATTATGTTATTCAATTTATTTTCTTCGCAAAAATTTAATGAAAATTTGTGAGGAAAAAAACAATTCTATTTGAGCAAAACTTAATGAGCGTGCAGTCAGTTCATATATATCATACATTTTCAATTGCTTTTCGCGCATTGTGAAAAGCGGCTGCCCACTCAAAAATGCGCCAAGCTGTGAAGAAAAACGAAGAAATACAATCATAAAATCCAGGTAAAAATTTCAAGTGTACAGAAAATCAATTTGGTCAAAAGCGAAAAGCGAAAAAATGTACGACTTGTTATAGTTTATTTCGCATTGGAAATTTCCCTTTTACAGCTGTTTTTGACAGTGACTTCCGCTTGAAGCGTTAATTGAAAATGCAGCACAAAAAATAAATTAAAAGAGGCTACAAAAAAAATTCGTTGGGCGGGGAAAATTTTGCAATATTTTTTATTTTTTTTTTCTGCTGCTCTTGCAGGAAACGGACGAACAAGCGCATAGCCAAAAGGAATTAGCATTGCCAACAGTGTTTCCGTTGCCAGCCAGCGGCGGGCATAACTGTAATTTATGTGCAAACAACTCCAACAGCAACTACAACAACAATAACCACTGAGCAAATACCAAAGTTGTTGCGCCGTTTGCAGTTGTCAACGCGGCGACATTTCTCTAGCCATCTTAAGCTACTCTATAGATGGGGGTACTCTAAATATGTTGAGACGCAGCTATGTGCATAATATTTGCTATATGAGTGGAGGTAGTGCATGTATATACCTTGATTTACTTTTGTATAAAGCCCTATATAAGCTGAACTACCTCATTGAACTCAGCTTCTGTGGAAGCTTTCTCGTTGAAACTTGCTAAACTTGGCTACTCTTTGCTTTAATATTATTATATGTCAAAAGTTTTTGGAACAGACAATTATTATCTAATATAATATCTTAGTTGTTTTTAGTTGGGAAGCCAGTTTTCATTAAAGACATACATTGCTCTCTGCGCATTACTTTAACTATAATATGTATTGAAATCATTTGAGTAAATCTTGTACATGCTACAGTTATTATATAATTTAGCGCTTTATGATAGAATTAGTCTTTGTTAAATCATGTGGTTCAGACCAATGATTTGAAACAGTCCTCCACATCAGTTTACTTTATTAATTTTATCTCAATTTCATAATACTTTTCCATTGCACATGAAAAGCGTATTTAGGTTTCACCAACTTTTCATTTGTTATTACCCATTTTTTCAGGTTTTTATTTTTCTTTTTGTGCTGCGACAAGTGAAAAATGCCTCGTTCATTGCATTTAATTCAATTTTCTTGTTGTCGCATAATTAAATGCAATTATAACGCAATTGTCAGTGCATCTGCACCTGCTGTCAGCGAATCGTTGGCCCCTCGTCCAGCCCATAAAAGAAAACCACTTTTTGCCACCATCCGGTTATCTGTAAGTCGACATTTTGCGAAAAATTGAATTCAATAACAAAAAAATTGACTGCACCCAATAAACAATGAAAAGAAAACTATTTAATATTTAATGCAGCTCAAATGAAACTTGACTCTTTCTGTTTCTGCAGTTTCATTTTGTGTGAGGATTCGATTGGCATACCAAATTACTTAAGTAGAGTTGTTATTCATTAATGAGGCGACAGAGTTGCCACCAAACTTTTATTTTTGTGCTGCAGTTAAGAAAGAAGTTGTAAGTGAAATTGCAGCGAATTTTGCAGAAAAGTTTTGTAGGACAAAATGAAATTTTATAACTTTGTTTAAGTGCTTCAATAACCAGGTTTGCCAATTAATAGTTCTCTTATTCCCAAACATCAAAGCTAAACAGCAAATGAAAACTTGTTCAGCGCTCTAACAAGGTGATAAAATCTGTATTGGGCTTGTTTTCGAAATATTGACTTAATGAGTGGCAAAAGAGTTTTGAATGTGGGTTCAAAGTATGTATTTTGAAGAATATAAAGCAATTATCATTATTGCTGAGATGTATATACAAACATGGCTATAAAATCTAAACTATATTAAGCCATAAATTAATATTAATCATTCCGTCTAAACTTCATTCAATCTGCACATTAACCAAACCCAACTAAAGTAGACTAGACTCTAGTTAGACTCGCCTCTAAAATTGAAGCAGAGAGTATGTATGTTCCCTTTCTCTCTCTCACTCTCTCGACCCTTCGCAAAAAAGGGCTGACTAAACAGACACAGCTCATATGGTCGACTGTTGCACTGTGTCACTCGAGTCTACACTGCATATTTAATTAATTTCTTTGCATTTGCATTTCATTAATAATGCATTTTAATTACACTGCGCTCAATTCCCCCACCGACGTACACCCCACCCTGTTTTTGGTTAAGGTCTGTAACATTTTCAGTGGCTGTCGATGATATAATAAATATTTATAACAAGCGTCACGAACGCAATGCGAAGACAGAAAGCAACATTAGCAGCAGCAGCAGCAACAACAACAACAACAACAACAACAGCAACAACAACAAGTTTGTAAGCTATTTTAAAGTGCAATTTGTTTATAACTGACTCTCACTATCTCATTTACTCCCACTCTCCCCTTTCCCATCCCTCCTTCCCTCTCTATCACTCTCCCTCTCTCCCCCTCACCACTTTAGTTGGTTTTTTGATTCTTCGCCTTAATTTCCGCACAATGTTTACGCTTCAGTTCAGTTGGCAGCGCGTCGATGCGTTTTCCTCTCAACGTTTCTCCATTTCCCCTCTGGCTCGTTTTGCATAATTAATTGCATTCCCTCAATTGCTAAAAGTATCCAGCTTCGCCTCTCTCCCTCACACACATACGCACACACCTTCACTTGTTGTCTCTAATGCAATTTGGACTTATTTCAGCTGCAGCAGCATCTGCAGCATCTTTACCTGCTTCTTCTCCACTTTCCTCTGAACTTGACAATGAAATCATGAAAATGGTATTTACGCATTTTCATGCAAACTTAATTCAATTTTCTGGCAAGAAAATATTAAGCTAGAAATTGTTATTTTAAGCCACATTAAATGGTAAATGCACCATGAAATGTATAAAACTCTGACTAATGAAAATAAACAATTCTGTAGGGGTTTAGAGTTGGTTAAAAATAAGATGAAATGGAATTGTTGGACGAGGTACTTTAGTAGTTTAGTTGATGAGGTGCCAAGTAAGTTGCATAACAAATTAAATAAATAAATACAGTCTTAGAGTTTAAGAATATAAGCTTTGATAATGACCAGGTGTTGATATTAGCTAGAAATTTTAAGGATTTCAGATAAAAATTAATTTAATTTTTCTTCAGAATACTTAAAGCTCTTTGTAAAATTCAATTGACATAGTAGACTATACCCAAATAAAGTCCTATGTAGCTTTATATAGAATATATATACATATCTATATCTTCAAATGGACAGATTTTAAATACACTTGCACACAAACAAAAAATCTATATATCTACTACAGATCTGCATGAATGTATTCATTTCCAGGCAGATGTGTAATATCTACATATCTATATATCGACATATAACTACTACTACTACTAATGTATCTATTTCTGACACTCTTAACTTCAGCTCCAACGTTCTATTGATCTACATTCAGGTGTAATTAGAAGAGTGCTGTTAATAAACGATAAACACGGCTGAAAGATCAATAGAGCTACATAGAAAAGTATATAGAACTATGCATAGACATTAGCTGCGACTTGCGAGTGCTGCTGCTGCTAGACAACAAACAACACGCAACAAACAGCAGGCGACAAGCAAGAGCAACTGTTGTCAACAGACGAAAAAAGAGAAGAAGTAGGCAAAATAATAATTACCATTTCTTATCGCGCTGCTCTTTCAATTCACACATTTTGCAATAGGAAAAGCTGAAGTCGGCTCGCTCTGAAGTTGAGTTCGTATCTTTGGATGGCTGCACATGTCGTGTCTCATTAAGAAATGCAACAACACTAACAACAACAACAACAACAGCGGCAACAACGTCGGTTTCCTAACCTCAATGTTGACAGTCGTCTGCCTCAGCTACCAACGCTTGCTTCATTGTAAACGATATATAAATATATATATATACCTGAGTACCTATCGCATATAAGGCACATCAGCCCATATATGACTTAATGTGCAGCGGCAAAAAAAAAGTGTGGCAAAGCGGCTGAGCAGGTTGCAGACATGTTCACGTTGCATGCCACCAACAACAACAACAACAACAACTGAGAGCAACGGTAGCAGGGGAATTTTGTTGTCGTTGTTAGCGTAATTGCCGTTGTTCTTGCTTTTATTATACTCTAATTGAACTTAAGTTTATTGATGTTTTTATAAAGTTTGCCACGTTTTAAGCGAATTATATCCCAGACACTCTCGAATTGAGTGAGAGGAGGGCTTAAAAAGTAGAGTGAAGCTTGAGAGTATCCTAACTATCTTAATTTGTCTTATCTATCCCATTATAGCTACACAATTTTCATCTATTAAGTAGTAACGGAAAATAATGGGAATATAACATAAATTTATTTACTACATTTCTATATCAAAATTTTTGGAAAATACATTTAGCAACAAAACTTATCAAATTTATTATTAAATATATATTATGTAAATAATAATAACTAATTTTTAAGTTATCTTTGATTTTATATTAATTTAAATCCATAATAAATAACTGATACAAATTATTCCTAGTAATACACTGCAAGCTAGGGTAGTTTCATAGTCGCCCATCCACACATATTTTTCGTTATGCTTATTAATTGTATTCTTTTGTACTATTATTAACTCTAATAGGAGTATTTCATATTCCTAAAACGTTGTTAGCACTGCAGTTCCGTTTACTAATGCAATTCATTACGCGGGAGCTTGACTGTACTTCACTTGTGCGCAATATGCTGCTAATGCTCCATTAATAACTCAAGCGTTGAAAAAAAGCAATGTGCTGGCCTCACCTCCCTCTGTCTCTCTCTCTCTCTCTCTCTGCTGTTCCTCTCCCCTTTCAAACTCTCTCTCGCTCTCTCTCTACCCCACTGTTAGCTATTAAAGTTGTATGACCATATAGTGAGACTCATTCACATAAGTCTTCAATGGCTTTAAACGCAAGCACAATGATCTATTGTGAATTAGACTGTTGCAAACTGACGTGACAATGCGCCAAAGAGGAACCGAATGGAACTGGGTAAGAGCTGCGGAACAATGGAAATGAAAGAGCTGCACAAAGCAGCAGAGATCTGCTCAGTTCCATTTCAGCTTTTCTCACTCCAAATTTTCTTAGTTCCTCTAAATAGAGACATTCAAATGGCTTTGCAGTTCCACAGATTCCATGCTCTGACGTTTGTTGTTCTTTGGAAAAACTTTAATTACCTCGGGTGAACAATAAAAACAAAAACAAAAAGATATGAGCTTTGTAAAGCATCGAAAAGAATTTTCCTTGCATGCTCTTTGACTAATTAAGTTGTATATAAATTAGCCGAAAAGGTCACCTAGTTATGCGAAGAACAAAAGAATTGATTAATGGGAAGTTTCACAAGCAGCAAAACACACACACACAATACACACGCACACTCACACTCACACTCACACACACACACACACACACTCATAGTGCGGCAGCCTCATGTAAATATGCAAAAGAACTCGCATAATAAACTCATTGTGCCGCTTGGTCGAGCCGATCCATGGAAAAGGAAGTGGGCAATTTAATTATGCCGACCGAGTCGACTTGGGGTTAGCAGATCAGAGCGCGGTCCGGGGCCAAATCGTATGGTTAAAGCAAATTGTCTGCGGCCAAAGTGAAAGTACGCAAATTGTGGGCAACAACATGATAAAAATCCAATACCAAATGATGCTCCCACTGCAAAAAAAACAAATAAATAAATAAATAAATAAAAAAAAAAAACGCAAAATGAAAAACTTCAAAAGCCACTCGGAATCAATTTCAGGCAATTGCAAACCCAGAAGTCAACACAGTTTGATTGAGTCTAAGAGATACTCGAAATGCCAGCAAGACAACAGCTGCGGCTGTGGCTGTGGCATATCTGAAAATCTAAAGAGCTTTAATTGTTTAGCTCAAACTAACATTTAAAATAGAGCTAAAATTGGCAAAAATTTAAGCAAATTTTGTAGCTTAGTTTATTAGATTAAATCTAGTCTAGTACAAGTTGAAAATAGAGTATAATAAAGAGTTATATATACTTCAACCAAAAAGGAAACGCAACTTAAGCTGAGAATATGAATAGCTGAAGATTATTTAGGTTACTACTTGAATATTGAGAAGCTATAACTTTATGTAATAGTTCTTATATTAAATATATGTATATTAGGATAAGCAAACAGTATTACGATATTTATAGAATAAAATCAAAGTTTTAATACTCTACTTTATATGTAAAAGGATATTGCCAATGCCTAAACATATTCCTTCTCCCTTAAATCTTTCCATAGGGTATACAAAGCGTTACTATCCGATACTGTCCACTTTGTATACCCTATAGAAAGCACCATGATTATCATTCTACAGGGTAAACAAAGCATTACTATCCGCTCTGTACACCCTATAGAAAACACCAAGGCTCTATAGGGTATACAAAGCTAAATGCTTGAATTTCAATTAAAGATATTCAATTGAGAATTTGAAGGTTCACTGCGTGAGAAACAGATACAGAGGAACAAAACGAAAAGACAAGAGGGAGAGAGAGAGAGAGAGAAGAGAAGGGAGAGAGATAGATAGCCAGCTTCCGAAAGATTCTTCTACCCATCCAAAAAGTTGGCTTCTGCCGCCACTGGCCAACAGTTGCAACTGCAATTAAATTTAATGGAAGCTCATTAAGCGTACGAATTATCTGTTTGCAGACAACGGGCGGGAGGGTGGTAGGCAGGGCAAGGTTCGGGCTGTACTGCGTTTTCTGCTGTTGCTGCTTAGCGAATTGCATAATTTGCAGCTCCCTTTTGGCCGCTCTCTATCCCTTTCTCTCTCCCTCACTCTGCTGAGACTCGCAACTTGCAGCGAACAAAATTATTGAGGAAGCTGCACTACTTTGGCAACTTGCATCTTGCAACTGGCGTGCGGAAGTCGCGCAGTTGTCAGCAAATTTGAATGGCTCCTCTAGGACCGAAGAGGCCAAAAGTCAATCCAATAAAAAAAATAGATATACGGAGAGAGAGAGAGAAAAAAAAAAAAAGAAACCGAAACAAAAGCTACCCACTCAATGCCATAAAAAAGTGTCAAACATTTTTCTGTTCCTTGTTTTTTGACTTTTTCTTCTTTTTTTACAGCAATTAAAACGTGGCCCGTGGCATCAATAAAGCGGAACAGTTGCCAGCTTGTAAAAAATGCGTTTACAGCATCAAAGCTGACAATGGATATTGTTAGTGTCGTATTAACCTTACTGAATGGGCTTAAAAGCCAACAAATTTAAGGTAGAAACGGACTAAAGGGTTACATAAAAGAGGAATCAATATAGATAAATAGATTAAGATAAAAAGGATAAAGGAGGAGGTGCGTATGGTATATATGATATATATATGATTCATGATCTATGATTCAATGGATGAATGAATAAATGGATTAAGTGAAGAAAGAGCATCATATAGAATATATGACATATATATGAGCTTTGATATCTATGATGATGTATGATGTATGATCTATGTTTTATAATCTTTGATTTATAATCTAGGATCAATAACCTCTGATCTGTAATGCATAATACACAATATCTGATCTATGATCTAGTTTATATGTATGTGATATAGGATATATCTTATATGGTATATAGTTAAGATATCATGCCAAAACAGAAACATATACCATATTATGTGGAGGTATTATAAAGCTGATGCTTGTCCCACTAGACTAATTTCTAAAGACAGACGCCGCTGGCTATATAAACTGGAATGTTAAAACTAATTATGCATATATAGCTATATGTTGGTATTCTTGACTCTTCCTTTTATGCTAACATAATAATAATGCCTCAATATTAAAAGCAATTCACCCTGAATGGCACTCGCAACATTTCCATTAAATAATTTTACTGATCAATTCAATGTTCAATTTTGAGTTTTTATTACGAGCACTTCCTTCCTTAGTGGCACTGTAAACAAGATCTTTGGCCATATTACATCATCAGCTCCAGACACACAGCATGGCTAAAGACCGCAACCCCAATTCGTATAGTTTATGTTACAACAACAACAGCAGCACAAACGTCTATTCAAATTGCGGTCAACCGAAAATTACGTTATAAATAGCCTCGCTTGAGAAAAGCACACACTGAAAATTATTATTTGTTCTGGCATTTTGGACGTTTTTGGCCAAAATGTAACCGATTTTTATGTTGCTTTGTTCTCCAGCTGAGGATCGTAAATATATATACATATATGCATGGCCACTATATATATTTATGTATGCATATATACTATATATATGTGTGTGGGTTTTAATGTATACTTACTTGAGTGCAAGCATTAAATAACGCCCCATTTTTAGCTACTCAATTCTTGTTTTTTTTTTTTTTTTTTTTTTCGATTAGCCTTAGGGCAAGCTGGAGCATATAGCTAGAGTATATGACTTATAGATACCCTGTCGATGGTCTTCGGCCTTAATACATAACATATTCGTTTATCTGCGTTTTACTATAATAATTAGAAGATCTGAAGTCCCAGTCCATCTTAATCTATTATCATTTTACTTAACTAGCAGCTCAAGCTACCCGATTAGATCAACTTCATATTCCCAGAGAGAAGTTTGTTTTCCAACATTAGCGCACTCAGCTGGAACCTGAGCGCGGAAATTTTTTGGTGCAAAAAGTGTCCATTACACGTTATTAATTGAAAGACGTACAACAAAATTTGCTAACCCAAAAGAAATACAAAAAGTGCTAAAGCAAACTAAGCTGAGTTTCCAAGAGGATGTAGCACAATAACAAGCACAACAAAAACAGCAACAACAACAACAACTGCAACGTAATTGATTCTAGATTTTAACAACTGGCATCGGTTTTGGTTGAGCGCCCGTTTATGTTTTTGCCAGCCATGTAAAATGAACGAAACTGACCGTAAACATTTCAACTGCTTTTTAGCAGATAATCTAAGTTGGTTTACTGTGCAAGAGGTTGAAACGGTTTCACGAAAGATATTAAATATTATATACGAATTTTTAATGCACTGCAAGCTGTTGGAGAGGGGATTTTATAAGGGCTGAAAGAAACGCAGTAAAATTTCACTGGGGTTTCAATTTAATAATATAATAAATTCAATTAGCGCAGCATAACAAAATTCAATTAGAGTTTCTTAGAAGCTTTTGCTTTCAAGTTAAGATCTTAAGCTTTTCCTTATTATATTTATATGTAGGGTTTATATTTGAAAGTTAATGCTTATGTTTTTTGAATGGCTTTTTAGCCGATTTCAAACTGGTTAACTTCGTAACTAGTAAGATAGTTTCCTTCATGTACTTCACAGAAATATTCTTTGAAATGCATGTTCAGCTTTAAAGAAACCTTTCGAGCAGTAAAGAGCTTATGAGAAATTTTTACTGCGTTCTATACTTAAAGTATTCAAA